TGAGCAATGTTGGAGGGATTTGTAAGGTGAGAACGACGGTCTCGAGTCGCGTAGCGCCGAGATACGCGACTGATTTCTTGAACTACGTATTTCGTTCATTCGGACCAATTCGAATGGACTGTTCACGGTAGCTCCAGCGTATAACGCAGCATCTCTGTGTTAGTGAAGTGTTGAAAAAGAAGCTGAAGTTGAGAACATGTGTTGCAGTTGTGATTGGATTGAGTTCACATTAAAGAAACGATTGAGGAACGAATAATAAAATTAACGTCGAGAAAAAGATACAAATATACATTTGTTATATATTCTATTGTGAAAAAACAAGAATAACATTAACACGTTTTTTATGAGACATGATGTTGAGTAGACTGTCGATGTGGTTGTTGAGATAAAGAGATAGAAAGAAGTGTATGGTGACACAACGCGTGGGATCATGCATTTGTCGAGTGAACTGAAACATTCCGCTACTGTGGCGTTAATTGGACCTGTCGTCTTTATTTACAAAAGGATCAATAATCGAGACGAGCTGCTGGCAGTGCCAGCGGCGGAGGAGAAAGAGGAGGAGGAGTAAAAGAAAACACGGCATTGAGATGCCGTAAGAAATGATGAATACACGTGAGAAAACGTTGAATTGAAACATAGATACATATGTATAAAGTTCAAGAAAGACACCAAGCATTTGGATGTCTCTAAGAAACGTATTCTATCATATAATTCTAAGTGCCATTTCGTATTTGAATATTTAAGAATAAATGTATAAGACGCGTGTACTTAGAATGCGTCCAAGCACTTAGTATTCATACTGTCCTCAGTTACCGATAAACATCAAATCAAGATTGATATTCAATTGAATACAATCCTAAACGGATATCATGTATATACATTAATCATTACATAAAAATCAATGGTAAAGTGTTACTTGAAAGTGCCATATTAAAAAAAAATTTTTTTTCAACTTTGTTAAGTCTCAAATGTTTTGGTTCTCAGATATTTAGAATGTAATAGAAATCAATGATTTCATTGTTAATATGAGCAAATTATATCTAGAAAGAAGACAAATGTGCTCTAAGAAAAAAAAATTACAAAATCAAAGAAACATTAAGAGTTTTATTTAATATTTGCAACATGCCAGGTGGAAGTGTTATAGAGGAAGATTTGGTGGATCCTGAGTGGCTTTTTAAGCAACTAAGATCACCAGATGGTCCTAACAAACTTCTTATTTTAGATTGTAGAGCACATTCTGATTTTTCTGAAGCTCGTATTAGAGGCTCTGTACCTTTAGCTATACCTAGCATTATGTTGAGACGACTGGCAGCTGGAAAAGTTGATCTATTATCAACAATAAGGTGCTTAGAACTAAGAAACAGAGTAGAAATATTTCTGTGTGGTGATGAAAGTAGTAGAGGGACATTTGTATTGATTGGTGACTCTACAGATCCTGCAGGACATCAGGGTGAAACAATTCAAGTTTTAAGTCGAAGACTTAGAAATGGTGGAGGATGTGTTGCTATTTTAATGGGTAAGATGATCAACATGTTTGTGAATATTTTTATTGTTTTTTTGAAATATATACATTAAAAATAAAAAAATGTATCTCAATGTTTTTATTATATTTTGAAAAATATAAAGTGATTATAGATTATATTATAAAATTTTTCAAATTTTTATAACCAATTATATCTGCTATAAAACTATCTTAAATCAATAAAAATATATTTGAATTAAATATTGATTTATGTAAAGAGTATTGTTTAATATTTTCTATTATTTTATTGTTATTTACTCTCAATTGTATAAAATTTTATTCCTCATTAAAGTATATGTTTATTTCATTTAGTCTTTACTTTTTGTTTATTATTTTTATAATATATAATATTATATAAAGTTATTATATAATAAATATAAATAATAAAATAATAAAAATAATAATAAATAACATAATAAAAAACATATTTTTTTCTATTAAAATCCTTTATTTTTATTTTATTTTATTTTATTTTAGATGGTTTTGGAGCATTCAAAGATAGATATCCCGAGTGGTGTGAAGGTAGTCAAACTAGTGGTGAAGGTCCTCCAGGTCAAGATTCTAATGAAGGTGAATTAATGGGTCTTAGATCACTTCGAATTTCCACATTACCTACAAGATCATATTCAGATTCTGACAGTGATAGTACGTGTGATTCTGTTGGTTAGTATGTTCAAATCATTTTTTTATGAAAAAATGCATATAAAAAATATTCATTTCAATGAAATTGTGAAGAAATCATAAAGTTATTTTTGTGATTTTTTTAGGTCCTGAGGAGGATAAAGATTTTCCAGTCGAAATTCTACCCCATCTATATCTTGGAAATGCAGCAAATAGCGAAGACAGAGAAGCTTTAGCACGTCATAGGATACAGTATATTTTGAATGTGACCCCTGATTTGCCAAATGTATTTGAAAGCGCTGGTTCGATAAAATACATGCAAATACCTATAAGCGATCATTGGAGCCAGAATTTAGCTAGTTTCTTTCCACAAGCAATTCAATTCATTGGTAAATACAACCACCAAAAAAATAAAAAAATCGGTTAATATATTTAAATTTGAGACATAATTATTTGTTTATTTTTCAGAGGAGGCTCGAAGCTCAGATAAGGGAGTGCTGGTTCACTGTCTGGCCGGAGTGTCTCGGTCCGTTACAATAACTGTAGCCTATCTTATGCACAAATGTAGCCTTAGTCTGAACGATGCCTTCAATTTAGTGCGCAGTCGAAAATCTAATATCGCACCGAACTTTCATTTTATGGAACAATTACATAGTTTTGAAAAAGAACTGAGAGATAGAGGCGATAGAAATAATAGAGGAAACGATCAAAGATGTATAGGAGCTTGCCGACCTGGTGGGCCTTGTAATTGTCCAGCTCCCAGTTTTCTTAGTCCCATAGATTTGGGTCTTAGTCCAGATTCGGGAATAGAATTCGATAGGTGGGCATCGAGTACGCCGGCTGAATGAGACGGGCCAGGGGGGACCCAATATAAATTTTAGGTCCCTCCTAGTATGCTGCCATAGCAGAAAGTAGCAAAGAGAAGCCCTAATTGAAGGGTGCGGGAAGTTCACATTTTTGCGGAAAAGAGATATGTTGCTATGATTGCGATAAATTACGATTATAAATATATTGTGATTAAAAATTTAGAATCAGTCAAAAAAATATAAAAATTTTTAAACAAAAATTTAGTTTTGAATTAATTCAAAAATTAAGAATTTTCATTATTAGCTAAATTATTATTAATAACAAATTCCAAAGTGAAAATTAATAAAAAATTCATACAACAAATAAGATTTCAAATTTTTATCATAATGTATTAATTATATATTAATTTACATACGACGAAAAAGGCTTGAATTCAAATATTATTAAAATAATTTTTCTAATATTTTTCTATTAATTAAATAACAGAAATTGTTTTTGACAAGATTTTGCAAACCATAATTCTATATTGTCGTAAAAAAAAAACAAAAAAACAAAAAAAAGAAAAGAATTATTAAAAAACATAAGTGATAAGTTACTTTCTAAAAGATTATTTTTAATTTAATGAAGTTATAATTCTTATAAATCAGATTTAAATCTTATTGTAATTTAGGGGAAAAAAAATAGATATGACTGCTAAAAAGAGTTCTATAACTCTTTTCTAAGTTGTCGTGATATATGATGTTAAACATTGAAAGTATTTTATAAATTTAAGTCTGTACTTTCTTACAGATAATTATAATATCTGAATTATTAGATAAAAATTTAAGATTCTTTTTTTAATAGTGTTTAAAGACATTTTTTTTGACTTGATCTATCTATCTATTGTTAAGATAGATTTTTATACGTATGAGATGTCTATATTTTTAATACTTGTTCCCTGAACCCTTCAATTATCGAGGCTGTGTTTGATTTTATTGCGAACAATGCTTATTCGAAATGAAATGAAATGAAATACAAATCGTAAAATAGGCAATCATAAATAATTGAATTAAAAACAATTAATAATGAATAACTGCTTGATAAAAAAACACACTTTAAATTCAGAGGTACAAAAAATTGAGAAATCTTTCAGCAGTTTAGATTATTATTATTATAAGAAAGAATAAAAAAGTATATATTTAAAGGCTACAAATCGATACTATTTGAATGTAATTTTTGACATGATTTTTCAAATCCACAAATGTGACTTATCTTAATAAGGAGTACATATTTCCTATGCAAATCTATCTTTTCAAAAGATTTGCAATTTTATGTGCACGTTCTTTATCTTTATCCCTCTTCCAAGTATTTAATCTTGATTAATAATTCAAGACACATCTTTATGGATCATTGCATTTTTATAGGGCATTCCGCGAATCTTTTATTTCTGAAATAAAAAATTTATTTTGCTTAAAAAAAAAAAAAAAAAACTATAAATCATATTCATATATTTCAAAATTCTTACAAAAAAATTCTTCATAGTAATTATATATGGTTTTGATCTTCAGCGTTGGTACAAAATGAAAAGAAAAAGAAACTAATTAATCATAGACATACATATGATAATGTATAGCAATTTGAAATACACTAAAAAATTCTTAATTGTACGATCCAACACTGTTTCTATTATCTTACAGATCTCAGATTATATATTTCAAATTATTTTTGTAAAAAAAAAGCAAAGAAAGAAAAAAGAAAACAGAAATTACATATTCACATTCCCACGAGCCACAAATGACCTGATGATACTATTAAAAAAAAAAAACAAAGAATAAAATAATTATCTTTCATGTATGTATTGTTCATCGAAGATAATTGAAGTTAATGAATGTACACAGTGAATGTTATTATTTTTCATTGTAATTAACTACAAAATCTGGTTACTTGACCGACTCTTGACTTACTCGTGAGAGTGAATTGGTATACATATATATATATATATATATTTATATATATAAATATATACATATATGTGTGTATATTTGACGTTAATGTAATAATAATATTCTACTATTACACTTGTTGTCTGTTGTATGTTTGTCGGGCAAGTGCTCGAAAGATTTAATTACATTACATGTATATTACATAAATTATTATTTTATATTCATTGTTGTACATATATTTTAATTAATTTTCATTTTAAAATACACAGATTATCTTATCTAAATTGAAACTAAAGCAACTGATCTTTACATATAAAAGGAAAAGGATAAAAAGAAATGTACATGTTTTTTTGATAAACAAAGATTATTTCTCAATTATGGCAAAATGTACTTTTATTAGCAATGAGATAATTATAATGTTTAAACCATCAGATTGCAAAAAATATAAGAAACCTATTTAACGCAATATTGGTGAATATGTTCGTTAATTACAACACTTTATAGTTTGAGTCTTGAGTTCCATTGTTTTTTCCAATTTTTTTTTATATTTTATATATTTAAATAATTAAACTGATTATCTGTTTTGAACAATTTGCCAGCTTATCTGTTGGAATTGTAGTTTCTGATATAGTATAAAGTATATTCAATGCAACTTCTGATTGTCGTACTGCTTTTATTAAATTATTTCGATCTTCTGAATTTGATGTCGTACTCAAAAGCGTTCCTAATGCAACAAGAGTTCTGAATACTGCTTCAGATTCATTGAGACGTGGTAATAATGAGAACATTGCATTCAGACATTCTATTTTACCAAGGGTATCATTGTATTTATTCAGAGCTACAGTTAAATTCAATATATAAGTTGAAATTGCTACCTAGAAATATGTAAATGCAATTTTGTATCAATTATTTCAATTCATACTTTCAAACTTTTAAATGATATATATATATTTTTTTTATTTATTATTCATACCTGGTTATTTTTATTTGTAAGGGATTCTAACTCTGATAAAAGCTTTAGTATTTCATCTTTGCAATTAAGACATAGTTTTTCACCTTTCTCGTGACTGAACATATTTGCCAGTAAGCGGAAAGTGAGCATTTGATTAGAAGGAAGTGCATCAGGTTTGATGTGCTTTTTTACAATTTGCAAGAGTTCTTCTGTACATAATACATCATTGACTTCTCTGCAAAGTACTGCAAGCCTAGTAATGTCAAGCACAGGAAATAATATATCATCTGACCAGTTTAAAAGTATTTTCAAAGTACTTAAAGCATCAGTTTTTAATTGCTCAGAAGCTTGATCACCAGCAAGTTTCACCAAAGATTCCAATTTATCATTTGGTACTTTAAAAGGATCATTTTGTTTAGTATTTAATTCTTTTATCTTTTCTACAAAAAAATATTTTAAATAAATATTTTAAACAATTCGTTAATTAATTTTACTATTATAAATACAATATTTAAAAAATAAGAGCAATAAAAAATATGAATACCTAAAATTTGAGAAAGATTAGCTTGTTCCAATTTCAAATATTTTGTATGAGGTATATAAGAAGGTACAGATGCGTCTGAAGAATTTGATGCTGTTGATCTCGTGAATTCGTGCGAAGCTGTATTTGTTGTCGACTGTGGAATGTACCTACTGCCTCCTGTGAAAGGATCAGCATATTGAGCATCAGTTTTCAAAACTGGTGCAGATTCAGAATTTTTTATTATAAAATTTGCAACCTATAAATAAAAATAAAATTGCCATAAAATTTATTTGTCATTAAAAAATAAATATTTAATTTTCAAGTTTTATACCTGATCTAGAAATAATTGACTAAGACCATTATCATGAAGGAACTTCTGGGCAACATGCCAAGGATCCTGATCATTATTATAAGGTAATTTTAATGGAGGAATACCATCTTGTATATCCACTGAAAACACATAATCATACTCTATGCCATTATAAAGCTGTTTCCCAGATGTAGCTACACTACCACCTGATGCACCCATAACATTTCCAATTTTTATCCATCTTTGCTCATTTTGTGACCAACTATAGGCTCTTATAGCATCTCCATCATTAATTATTTTAGTTTGACCATCTCTCTGTCCAGGTTGCAGCAAAGCTTTGGCATCTGGTAAACTGTTACAATTAAGTTAATTAAAATTATTTATAACTTATTATTTATAATTTAATTCTTATATACTATTATAATTTAAATTCTTAACTATTTGACTTACTCCTTAACTTTGATCCCACCTAATTCTTGTTGAGCATTAAGTTTAACACTAGCTACTTGCTGTTCAAATTCTTGCAATGTCTCTGAATCTGCATAGCGTTCAGGATTACATGAAAATATCCTGACAACTCCATCAGAGCTTCCAGCAACTACATCACCATTAGGAAGTAAAGCCAAACACCATACAGATTGAGTGGGCAAAGTAATAGTTTGACTTAGTTCACTATTATGCCATATCCTAAGTGTCCGATCTTCACTACAAGTAAATATGCTTGTACCATTTTCTAAAGCTAAAATGCTATAGATATAATTTTCATGTCCACAATAAGTTCCTAAGCAAGTTCCAAGGGACACATTCCAATGACGTACAGTGGCATCATTAGCACAAGTTAAAAATTCATTACTACTTATTGCAGATATATCACGAACACAATCAGTATGCCCAATCAATTTATGATGTATGGAACCATCGCTTGTCCATATTATAACCAGTTTATCTGCAGATCCAGTTATAATATATCCACTCAACAAATCTGCCACACACCATACAGCAGCTGTATGACCCAGTAAATTTAATTGTGGTTTACTTAAATCACTTAAATTCCACAATTTAGCACTCATATCCCAGGAACTTGATAAGAATGTTCCTTCCTTTGTACCAGTTGTCAATTTGCAAACAGTATCCTGATGACTTTTTATAATGTTTATGGGCTCTGCTTGGTCCGAAATATAAATTCGTATAGTCTTATCATGACTACCAGTAATAATAAAACCTGTAGGATTTTGCTCAGAGGGATTTATAACACATACAGAGGTGACAAAATTTGAATGTCCTTTTAAAGTTGCAGTGTGCTCATAATCTTTATCATTTCTGTAAAATGATAATATCGCTTTTAAAATCGTGTAAAATATATAACTTATAAATATAGAATAAATGAAGAATTTTTTTTTTAATTTTAATACAATTCTCGAATAGGTTAAATACCCGCATGATTTCCAAATACGTGCAGTTTCATCCCGGGAAGTAGAAACTATAGTTCCGTCGGCGAAGGTTGCTACAGCTCTCACGTCGGATGTGTGTCCGAAAAGAGAAGTTCTTAATTTGTAATACGGTTTAGCCATACCACTCTGATAATCGTGCGAGGCACGCAACAAGGACATAACTTATGCGAAACTGTCAGGAAAATCTTAGCGATTCTCGATGCAAATAAATGTAGATAAATTCGCACGGTTTTGACATTTAAAACGCGTTCGAGCATGCGTAACAATAATCACTATATTCGCATGATATTATAAGAAACTATTACTTAAATCATTTTTGTAAATGTAAACAAATTTTTGTCTTTTTGTCAATGTCATTAACCTAATATGATTGTTTGAAATTCAAGACTATTTTATAAAGAATCATAGCTTAAAAATAATTCTGTATTATATAATGTCATACAATTTGAATTAATTGATCATTTTTATAAATATATAATCAAAATATCAATGCACTAAAGATAATATCTCTTTATCTTTTTTTTTACTTTATAAAAAACTTTAATCAAATATCGATAGTATATGGTAAATTTGATTCATAGAGTTGAAGCATGTCATTTCCGTAAAGTGAACAACTTCCGTTTGGTTACGTGTTGTATGTGAACCCGCTACTTTAAGATAGGAAAACCGGTCTCGTGGAAGAATATTACGTTTAATACATGATGAAATTTATAAATAAATTTCTCTATTTTGTTACGATATTTGGAATAGTGAATGCTGGAGGACCGACACTTGTTTTGTTAGATAATTTAGCTATAAGAGAAACGCACTCCATATTTTTTAAGACTTTGCAAGGTATGTAAATATTCAACTTCAATACTGCAAAAGTTACTGATAAATTCAGAATCAAAATCAATTAGAAAAATTAAATTTTTCATTATATGTTCAGAAATTAATATTAAAAAAATTTTAATAATATTAATTAAGATTTTAACTAATATTAAATATAAAATAGACTTGTAAATGAAAAAATTACAGTACAATGAATAAATATAACTTATTGCAAAAGATTTTAATATAAATTACATTGAAACTGTTATATTATTGAATAAATGAAATACCTATAAAATGAAGATATATATAGCTGTATACTTTTAAATATGTTAATTTCACAATTCTATAAATAAATAATAAAAATGTATTATTTTATTATCTTATTATTTAATTATCTATAGTTAATTAATAGAAATTATTAATAAATAAAATTATTAATAAAAATTTATAGATAAATAATAAGATAGATAATATAGATAAAATAATAATAATAAAATAAAAAAAACATTTATATTGCTTTTTTCATTTGCAATATTCATATTAATGTTAATTAAATTTTAATTACATTTAATTAAAAATATTTTTTAAAAACATATAGTGGAAAATTGATTGAAAATTTCTTTTATCTAATAAAATAATTAATTATTATCAATTGTTTCATATGTTTTTCGAGTTATGATTGTTTATACTTGATAATATTGTAATATATTAATTGTAATGTAATTTATAAAAATGTATATATTGGTTAATGATGTTTTCAATTTTCTTATAGATAATGGATATATATTAACATTTAAATTAGCAGATGATGCTAATCTGCAGCTTTCTAAATATGGAGAATATTTATATCAACATTTAATAATATTTGCTCCTTCTGTAGAAGAATTTGGAGGAGCATTAAGTGTTGAAACAATAACAGATTTTATTGATGGTGGTGGTAATGTCTTAGTTGCTGGTTCATCTCAATCAGGAGATGCTCTACATGAATTAGCATCAGAATGTGGTTTTGAAATTGATGAAGAAGGTTCTGCAGTCATTGATCATTTAAACTATGATGTTTCTGATAATGGTTATCATACAAAAATAGTAGCAGATCCTGCTAATTTGATAGATGCTCCTGCAATTGTTGGAAGTAAAAACATAAATTCTTTACTTTACCAAGGAACTGGATTGATTGCAGATACAGAAAATCCTTTAATTTTACGTTTATTAACAGCATCTAGTTCAGCATATTCATATAATCCACAGAATTCTATAAAAGAGTATCCTCATGCAGTAGGCAAAAATACATTATTAATTACAGCTTTGCAAGCTAGAAATAATGCCAGAGTAGTATTTTCTGGTTCTTTGTATTTTTTTAGTGATGAAGCTTTTACTAGTCCTATTCAGAAAGCTCAAGGTAAGCTTGGTATCATAAAAAAATATCACAAATTTTTTAAATTATTAAACATTTTTTTTATAATATTAAAATATACAGGTGGTCAAAAATATTTAAAATCTGGAAATGAAGCCGTAGCAACAATGATTGCTCGCTGGGTGTTCAAGGAAAATGGTGTGATACGTGTTTCCTCTGCTCATCACCATAGAGTAGGAGAATCTGAACCTCCAGCAGCTTATACAATTATGGATGATGTAGTTTATTCTATTGATGTTCAGAAATTAGCAGGAGATAAATGGATTCCTTATGAAACCAATGATCTACAATTAGAATTTGTTAGAATAGATCCTTTTATTCGTATGACTATGAAACCTGTAGGTAATGGCCGATATGAAGCAAGATTTAAAATTCCTGATGTGTATGGTGTTTATCAATTCAAAGTAGATTATACTCGTATTGGTTTAACGCATTTATACAGTACCACTCAAGTATCTGTCCGTCCTCTTCAACACACTCAATATGAACGTTTTATACCTAGTGCATTTCCCTATTACATAAGTGCTTTTTCGATGATGGGTGGAGTATTTTTATTCTCTTTGGCATTCCTATATTATAAAGAAGATACAAAACCGAAGTTTGAATAAATTTATTATTAAAAAAACATATTAATTTATTAATTATATAAATACATTATTTCATTATAAAATTTTAAAATACATTATTTCATAAAAAGAATAAATAGATGCTTACTCAAATCTATTAACAAAATATGTTTAAGTTAAATTAATAAAAAAAATCCAAATTATATCTAAATATATAATAACAGATTTATATTTATTTAATAAAATATTAGAAAACAAAAGAAATGATGAAAAAATTAAAGTTAAGATTAAAATTGTATAAAAGTTGCATACTGTTTTTGGTACAAATAAATAATTTTGAAACGTGTTTTTATATCTCTTATAATAAATGAAACAAAAAAAAAAATTGTAGAAATAAGTCTTTTTCTTTTTATTTATAAATATACATGTAAAAAATATATGTTACAAATATACAATAAATTTAGCACATAATAGATAATTTTCATTCATTAGGAATTAAGTTAAAAATAGTAAGCATTAAGTAATTATACAAATTGCATGAAAAATATATAAATAATAATATAAATATAATATAATAATTATTTTTTCAATTCTATATTCAAAAATTTTATTCAATTTCAATTATTATAATTAATAATTTCTTTGTTAAAATTTTAACTAATTTAAACAATTTTCATTAAAAGAATTTCGAAGTTTCAATTTGATATTAGTATAATTCATTGTTTAATTTTACATTATAAAAAAAAATTTTATTAATTTCAAAGTTTTTTTCGTGATGTTGAAACTAACATTTGGCACGATGGTATTCAACGATCGATGAGGATTGTTTGGTATGACTCGCATTGTTAATTGATCTTATAATTTTTATCGTAAAATAAAGATTGAATGTGAAAAATGTTTTTTTTATGTGAAAGAAGGTATACCTTGTCGATCGTACGATCTTTTAATTGCTGTTACATCGTGAGTTTTGAAAATTTGAATAAAACTCGATGAACATAACCTATACAAATTATACTTATGCCTGTTTCTGTATATAAGCTTATTCTTATAGTTAAAAAATTGTTCAATCTTTCAAAATGTTGGAAGGACTTGTTGCTTGGGTATTAAATAATTACCTCGGAAAATATGTTGAAAATTTAAATACTGACCAATTGAGCATCGCTTTATTGTCTGGTAAGGTTATATTTTTCTTTTCAGTCATATTAATGAGACTTAAGAATAAATTTTTATTAAAAATATTTTTAATAAAATTAAAAATATCATTTCATTGATAATTTGAATTATTTTTTGTTTTATTTATAGATTTTATTATTTATTTATTATTTTATTATTTATTAAATATTATTCGAATTTAATTTTAAATTAAATTTTCGTGAAATTTTTATTTAAAAAAAAACTGTTGTATTTTAGGTGAAGTTGAATTGGAAAATTTACCATTAAAGAAAGAAGCCTTACGTCATATTGGATTACCAGTAGAAATAAAAGCAGGATTTATTGGTAAAATAAGATTGCAAGTACCAGTTCGTCAAATAAGAACAGCTTCATGGGTCATAGTGATAGAACAGTTATATCTAGTAGCTGGACCAATTAGTTTGAATGAGGTATTTATAAATTATTATTCTCTTTTAATATTTTTTGTTTCATATATTATAAATAAGTATGTTTACAGTTTGATAGTGAAGCAGAGGAACAAGCAATTTTAGAATACAAATTAAGTCGATTAGATTCATTAGAAGCAAGATGGAGAGCAGATACAGAACGAGATCCTGGTTATTATGCTACTAGTTATAGTTCTTGGGTGAATTATGGTACATCCTTAATTACTAATATTATTGAAAATTTACAACTTAATATTAAAGATGTTCACATAAGATATGAAGATGGAGTAACATTGCCAGATAGTAAGCAAATTATTTAATAAAATTATTTAATAAAATAAAAAAAAAGATATATTATTTAAAAATAATTTTAATAAATAGATACTGGCATTGCACTTGGTGTAACTATTGGAGCTTTAACTGCACAAAGTTGCGATGCTAGTTGGATACCTGGTTCTACTTCCTGGAATCTCACAGATGCTTCTTTCAAGCTCATGGAACTTGACAGGCTTTCTATTTATTGGAATCATTTGAAAAAAGACGAATTTCTTGGTTTTCTCAATCTTGGTGATTTAGCTGTATATATATACATTTTTATATATATTTTCTTTAATTTAAATATTAAAATAAATTAGTTATTAATTTTGAAATTGATTTTATTTTTAGATTGCAATGAGTGAACCAAAAAATATAATAAAAAATCTCATTTTATTGCCTGTTAATGCAAGAGCTCATGTTAAAAGGGATAGATCTGAACGACCATTAAGATCTACAAATAAACCTAGAATGGTCGTCGATCTTTTATTAGACGATGTTCCACTATGTCTTACTGATGTAAGTTTAAAATTTATATATAAATCTGATTTTTAAAATCTGTAATAATAAGTTATTTTTCTTCAGATACAATATGATCAAATAGTTAAATGCATAAAAGGTTTGAAAGATATAGAGCGTCGTAAGCAACAGAGATGCTGTCGTCCAATAGTTAACG